AAACCTTGTAAATAGTATGATGTAATCTGTACTATTCGTATGTCATCGAGTGCCACTTCAGCTACGTGACTAACCATCTTAAGCATCATAATATTTTGCATTGCCCTTGTGGCAACAGCTAAATGGTGTTTTAACCATTGTTGTTGTAAATCTGTTCATGCTATGCAAGTTAAATTTATAAATCCCTCCCCATTTCCCGATGTAGCGCATGTAGCTTTAGCATCTCAATTGTAGCCATCATAGTGCTTCAGCAAGCAAGGAGTAGAGTGTGACAGCTGCAAAGTATGCCCGTGTAATAAAGGTGCTTGCTGAAGGCTCTATGAAGATTAGACCAAGTGTTTTTCTGTATTTGTTTAGATATTAAAATATATGTTGTTGCTAAAAGCCTAATTAAAGTTTAAGATGTAGTGAGGCCTTGTATAAAGTAAGGCCTAGTAAATTTAGCAAAGCCTTGAACTAGTAAGGCCCTATGGCATAGTTAAAATTACCTTATCAAAAGAATGCAAGGCTTGTACTGCTATTGGTCAGTCTAAGAACAGTTGAAGTAAAAATAATCTGAGTGGTTGTACGTTATCAGAACCATTCAAAAGCTTTAAATTGGCTGGAATATCTAGAAACCATTCAGAAGGAAGATACAGATCTGTAAAAAAGATTAGTTAGCTTTGCCTAGATCATTAAGCCCGTACCTCGAGGAGCTCAAGGACTGCATTCCAGGGTCCTTCCTGGTACCCTTTGGACAGCGCTGTTCGGAGACGCCTGACTTCGCTGAACTTTGTAGAAAGAGAAGCTTGCTGTGTATCAGGCATCAGAGGGGACTGCTGATAAGTTGCCGATGTGAATTGCTTTTGTCTGCTGTTGTTTGTTTTGTTACTACGCGTAGTTGTGTTTTTATTAAGTCAATAAACCTTTCTTACCTTTCTACCCCTGACCATACTCTCAATCCCGAACTCTCCGCAGGTGGCTAAGACAGGAGCAGAAATGGATCTCAGGGTCCTAGTGGACTCCAAGATGAGCATGAGTCATCAGTGTGACGAAGTCATCAGCAGAGCTAATGACCCTTTATCGTGCATCAGCAGATGCATGACGAACAGAACCAAGGAGGTGATACTTCCCCTCTATTGGGCGCTGGTCAGACCACAGTTGGAGTACTGCGTCCAGTTTTGAGTGCCGCACTTTAAGAGGGATGTGGATAACCTGGAGAGGGTACAAAAAAGAATGACTTGTATGGTTAAGGGCTTGCAGGCCAAGCCCTATGAGGAGACACTAGGGCACCTGGACCTCTTCAGCCTCCACAAGAGAAGGTTGAGAGGTGACCTTGTGGCTGCCTATAAATTCATCATGGGGGTGCAGAAGGGAATTGGTGAAGCTCTACTCACCAAGGCGCCCCTGGGGTTTGCAAGAAAAAATGGCCATAAGCTAGCTGAGAGCAGATTTAGACTGGACATTAGGAGAAACTTCTTCACAGTTCGAGTGGCCAAGGTCTGGAACGGGCTCCCAAGGGAGGTGGTGCTCTCCCCTACCCTGGGGGTCTTCAAGAGGAGGTTAGATGGGCATCTGGCTGGGGTCATCTGAACCCAGGACACTTTTCTGCCTATGCAGGGGGGTGGACTCGATGGTCTACTGAGGTCCCTCCCAACCCTAACACCTATAAATCTATGACTCTATGAAAACCATAACCTTATCCCCCTGTTCAAAGGTATGGGAGTGAGCCCCCTTGTCATACCAGACACTCTGCTTCTCCTGGGCCTGGGCCAGGGAGTCTCACACCACCCTCATCATGTCAACCAGCTTCTGGTGAAAGCCTAGCACATACTCTACCGCTGATACTTGGGGGAGAAGATCTTCCCTCCCGCTCCTCTTTCACATGATCGAGAAGGCACCTAACTCACCTCCTGAACATCAACTCATAGGTCGAGGACCTGGTAGACTCCAGGGGTACCTCCCTGCAGGCAGAGAGCAGATGTGGGAGCCTCTCATTCCAGTCGTTGAGGTGAGAGTCCAGATAGTCCTTCAGTATACCTTTTGGGGTTTCATTGAACCTCTCTACTAGCCCATTGGTCTGTGGGGGAAAGGTTGTGTCTTGAGGTGTTTAACCCCACAGCACTTCCACAGACACTCCATCATGTCACCCAGAAAAGTCCCACCCCTGTGAGTCAAGATCTCAGAGGGGAAACCCAAATGGAAAAAAGATCTTCTTTAGGTCATTAGCAACCATGGGGCCTCTCTGGAGGCTCAGGCAATTGCCTCTGGGTACGTGTGTCATGCAATCCAGAAGAGTTGCAATACATTGCTTCCCTCTCCAAGTCTTATGCCTCAGAGGGCCCACAGGGTCTATCCCCACTATTGGGAATACCTGATCCATGATAGGGAGGGGCTGCAGGACAGCTTTTCTCTTATCCCCATTCTTGCCTGTCCGCTGGCACATCTCACAAGATCTGCAATAATCCAGCATGTTCTGGGCTACCCTGGCCAATAAAAGTTTGCCAACAGCTGCTGGCGAGTCCAGTCCATGCCCAGGTGACCAGCACAGGGTAGATTGTGAGCCTTGACAAGCAGCTGCCACCTGAATTTATGTGGCACCACGAGCTGGTGATAGAGCTCCCAGGGCATGGCATGATTCCTAGGCACCCATAGCCTATAGAGGAGTCCCTTATCCCAGACTACCTGTTCTCTCTTATCCGGGGTGAACTCTGTTTTTCACTCCTGGGACATCTGTTGGAGTTCCTCCAAGGTGGGATCCAGTAAAACCTCCAGCATAAGCTCCTCCTGCCCAGCTATGCAATCACTGGGGAGCTCCGGTACCTCCCTCCTCCTTCCCATGAGCCTCAGCTTTCTCTGCCACTGACTGACCAGGCCTCTCTCTTAGCACGGGTTACCTCAGCAGCTGACTGGCTGCCAAAGTTGGGGGGTTCTCTTCTCTTGTCCCCTTACTCCTAAAGTCAACTGGATTTCATGGGTCTGGGAGGCTTTCCTACCTACGGTCTGCACCTTCTTGCTCTGGCTGTGTGTCACTGCATTAATGTAGATGGGTTTTATAATATCTTCCAACCTTGCTCTCATATGCTCGGGTCCGTAATATCTCTCCCCACCAAATCGGGGTGGAGCATCCTCCATCACTCCTATCTCCAGACGCATTCTCCAGCCCCTCCACTTGGTGGAGAGAGGGGCTACCTGTACCTTGATTGGTTGGTGTCCCACCCCTACCATGATAAGGGTCTTCCAGGGACGAGATCCAAGGGTTAAACAAGGTTGGCATTAATAATGCCACATGGGCCCCTGCGTCCACTTCCCCCCATGACAGTTGTCCCACGTACTTCAACCTCCTCCTTGTGTGGGGCTGTCACCTCCTCTGGGTTCATCGTCCTGAAGATACAGGTCTGCCCCTCAGAGTGGCTTGGGATTCCCTCCTCTTTGTGCACGGCTGTTGCTCGGTTGATGGGCGTACTGGGGTTGCTCAGGTTTGGGAAGTTGGCCCTGAAGGGACCAGATTCCCCACAATTAAAGAGACCCTTGCTTCCCAATTTGGGTAGAATGACTGAATCCGAATCCACCCTGAGTTGTGCAGAGGGGACCCCAAACTCCAGTTTCTGGACGGGTTCTCCCTTTCCTGCTGTTTGGAAACCTTTCTGATCCTACCCAAGGTGGGGAGGCCTTCTGTCCATCTCCTCCTGATTGGGCAACAGTGGATCAGCAAAGTCAGCATCCTCACTTGTTACCTGTCAGCTGTGTGCTCCTGAGGGAGGCCTGGCATGCAGCTTGCTGGACTCAAAATGACTTTTTCTATTCCCCCCTCCCCAACCCCCGCTTTTAAGTAAGATCTGGAATTCATGCTAAACTGAGGCTTCTTCACAACAGGTGAAATACAAAACCCTGATGCTGCAAGCATAGCTAGGCCAGCTGAGAAGAAACAATGTGGTATCCCTTCCAGTATAGCTGCTATCCATAATCATTTCAAGCTGGCTCCTAGGTGTCTGGTTACTCCTTCAAAACTTATGTTTTCCCTGGTTGTTCATCAGTTTCTTGAGATGTTCCAAACCAGATAACCCCTTGTCAACAGAAATGACAATTATTGGCACAATTGAAAGAATGCTTTGAAGAAGCTGAACTGAGGGTATAAAGAAAGCTGTAAAAGCAGCAAACAGGGTGCTTCAAGAGACAATATCTCTCTGACCCCATCCACTGTCATTCTCCAGAAGCTGGGAGAAACAGATCCTCTCTTTCCGCTGTCTCTTTACCCTTCAATGATCCTGCGAAGAACTTTACCTGTCAGCAAACACCCTGAGCGCATGGACTGGGGAGATCCCAGCTCTCGTTCTCTCTCTTCCTCTTTTTCTCTCTTGGCATAGATTTCCGAACCTAAATATTGTTAGTTAAGCTTGAGCTAGGTTTCCTCAAGTACTCAACCAGGGTAGTATTGTAATTGGTTTTGTTTTATCCCGTGCATGGCTATTACTACTAGTACCATCAGACATTTCATATACTTAGCAATAAATAACTTTGATAGTCAAACTGGTGGTAACTGGGTGTATTTGTCCTACTCTACTTCCCCTTCCCACTCGCTCTGCAGCAACGCTTCTTTTACCGAAGCCAAAGATCCCGGTGAAGCCCAGAAATACTGTGAGATCCACTCATCAATAGGTGACCACTGCTAGGACAGTTAGGGCAAAAGATTGCGACGTGCTGAGGTTGAGACACATACGGGGATCAGCTTGTACAGGCCGATTGACCCAGTCTGGCTCAGACGTGCCCTAATGAACTGAACGCTGGCCCCTGAGGGTGTCAGCCGGACACCCAGCCGGATGCAGAGGTCTTCCCTTGACCCGTGTGCTTGTGTCTGACTGCAGTTCCTTGTTACCTTAATGAACTGGTTCCTGGCATATGAGGGTGTCAGCCTGTCTGTGCTGATCAACTGGTCAGAGAGGGGTATCATGGGAGAAGAGGAAAACAAAGGGATTCCAGAGAAAACACCTTAAGCAATACAGGATACCATGAGCCTTTTATTAGAGTTCAGTGGCCCGTTTGATATGCATCATATTTACTTATCTCTACCTTTATAGCTAATCTTCAAGCATACTGACTAATTCATACAGACAACAGCCTCAGGCACCTGCTAACCTTAAGTAATGTTTTGGTCTCAACATCTGGATCCACCCAGAACCAGGTATTATTTGAACCCTGCTGATGGCAACCAATCCTTTTAAAAGTGGTCATCACCCCTGGTGGAGTGACCAGCATCACCAAACCGGTTCCCCAGGTTCCCTGGTTGGAAACATTAAGGAGGGTGGGAGATCTCAGACCCAGGAACAGAGAATGAGAAGGATTTCTTCACGCTGACAATGCTGTCTCTGTTCTCAGCCACCTCCTCACCTCCTTCGGGCTCTGTCAGCCTCAACATGACCTAGAAAACAAGAACAAGGCTTAAAGTGCCGTCTGGGACTTTGTGTCTATTCACCTGGTAGACCCAGAGCCTCTGAGCTCTCCCATGAGCTGGGTAGGGCCGCAGGCAGCACACAACTGCTGGGACATGGGGGCGTGCAGGCGCAGGGCTGTAGCCTGCTTCTCAGGATGTGGGGGCTCCAACTGTGAGACGGGATCAGAGCTGGGGGAGCTGGTCTGGGGTCAGGATCATCCACGTTCTTGTCTATCTGCGCGGGGTCTTCCCCCCAGCCCCACGGGATAGGGGACACCTCCCTGGGGTAGAAGTTGTGGAGCTGGACAGCAAATGGCACCTAGTCGCGGGGGTCCCACTCCGGCAACACCTGGATCTCAGACACCTGCGGCCGGGCTGGGGGGACAGTGGGGGTGTTAGTGTGAGGGACAGCTGGGATCCTGCTTGGGGGTGATGGATAGTTGGGCCCCCCAGGGAGCTGGCTGTGCCTGGGGTGGTGCAGGGAGGAATGGGTGAGGCCTGCTCACCCGAAAAGCTGGTCCATCTGCATCTCCATCCCCCCTGACAGCAGCAGGCTCTGACCACACGTGGAGGTGGTAGCAGGGTCTCTGGGCACTCACCCCACACCCGGATCTCTGGGGACACCCGCTCCTCTCTGATCCTTTTTACACCATGGAGGAAGGTGCACTGGACCCCCGCCCCATCGTCCTGCAGCGTGGGGGTGAAGGTCAGGGAGGACGGGAGGCAGGTCCCAGCTCTCTCCTCTGTCTCTCTCCAGCTCTGGGGGAGGGCGGGTAATATCGGCTGGTGCTCGGGGATCTCTTGGTCCCCAGCGCTCTCAGGCACCGTCCTGTACTTGCTGCGGATCCTTTCCCATGTCACAGCCACATGTTTGGGGAATGTCCCCTCCATGGAGCAGCACAGGGTCACCTCCTGGCCCAGCAGGCACTGTTCTGGTATCTGCACCTCAGAGACAGAGTAGGGGACCGCCCAACCTAGAGTCAGAGCAACACACAGGACAGGGGTCAGCCTGGGATGGCGTGGGACATACGTCCAGTCTGAGCTCAAGCCTCTCCACCCCCAGGCGTCTGTACTGCCCTCCACCCTCTCTGACCCGTCACCTCCTTTGTGACCCTGAAGCCCAGCGGCAGCTCCCCACTTTACCTTTCCTCCTCTTCATACAGCAGTAAACGATTATTGCAGCGAGACCTGCCACGGCGGGCAGGGTTCCCAGGATGATTTCTCTTTCTGTGCTCAAAACCGGGAAGAGAAAGCAAGGCAGAGGTGGATTAAGATTTATCGGGGCCCTGGACAAGCATACATTTAGAGGCTCCCCATAAATGATTATAAACATGACTGTATCCAAAAGCATTAATAAAAAGACACATTAAATGTTTCCATGGTGCATTCATAAAGTCTCTCATGCAAGGTCAAAAATAGCTACTCAATTTAGCCATGAATCTGTGTCCCGATGCTTCAAAATGGTGGCGGGAGCTCTTGAACTAAAGTTCGTTGAATGAGATTTAGTTCAAGTGCTGCCATCACCATTTTTATGCACGGGGATGCTGACACACACGCGTCACCCCCACCCCCGGAGCACATGTAAAAGTGCCAAGGGGCGGCTGCCGGAGCCTGCCCAGCAGGGCTGAGGCCAAGGTGAAAGGTGGGCACCTTCGTGGGCAGCGTGGTCTCCGGGCCAGGCTTCCCGCTGTCCTCCCTCTGCCTAGGACAGGGCCTGCTAAAGACTATACGGCTGCAGTGTTTTAGGCATCTTGGGAAAAAAAGGACAGCAAAGTTTGGGTGTTACTACCTGAAACCACTTCTGTGTCATCGCTGGGAATTTCTTCTTTGCTTTCAACATACTGAGAACATCAGTTGTCTGGCAACTGGTGAAGCAGACAGACTACTTAATAGGGCTCTGCGAAGCTTCAGTTCCCGATTCGATTCAGCGGAGATTCGGCCCAATTGAGTGGCTGAATCTCTGAGTCTGAATTGAATCACAGGACCCTTTAATGTCTCCGAATCGAATCGGAATCCTCTGGATCATCTCAGAGGGATTCAGAAAGATTTGGCAATCTGGACATAGACACAGCTTAAAATTTGTTCTTACGTACCTCTCAGTAGCCGGGGCTCATGATTGCTGTGATGCTGGGGCGCATGGGGGCTCCCCAGCGCGCTCGGCACACACACTCAGAAGAGGACCAGAAGCACTTCTGCTCCCCTTCTGGGTCCTCTGGGGAGTGTGCTGGGGCCCTGCACCCACCTGGCTCAGCAACTGGTGTCTCCTGGGTCTAGGGGGGCACACAGGGACTTACTGTGCCCGGTCGCTGAGCCGGGGGTGGGGGGGAATCCCCAGTGCGCTCCTCAGCCAACCTGGCAGAGGACTGGAAGTACTTAGGGTCCACTTCTGGGTTTGCCACAGAGCAGTGGGGGGCCATGCACTCCTGTGGGACACTCCATCCACCCCAGCGTCACAGCGATCACGAGCCCCTGCTACCTCAAGGCACGTAGAAAAAACATTTAAAGCTGTGTCTATGTCTGAACTGCCTATTCTCCGAATCAGCATTGAATCTTTGGATTCTGATTTGGCCGAATCCAATCGGAGATGGTGATCCGAATCAACAAATCGAATCACTGTCCGTGATTTGGGCTGAATCCAAACCCATATTGATAGGGCTTGTTTTGCATATCCATACTTAAATGTTTTAATCTTTTTCAGTCCCACTGCCCGTTTTTCGTATGCAGTAGGCTTTTCTGCAAAAGGTGCCTTTTAAATTCCCTTGAAGGATTGGAGTTATGGCACTTTATAACTTGTACATGCACATGGCCCCCAGGCAGCCTGGAGAGCAGCTCCCGCAGGGTGGTGGGGGCAGGATTGGGGCTCCCATAGGGAGGGACAGAGCTGGGCAGGGCTGGGGCGGCTGCCCAGCCAGGCAGCCCGAGGGCTTGGGGTTCGGGGCCCGAGGCTGCAAGGAGCGGCCGCTGCAGGGCCCCAGCAGAGAGTGGGATAGGACCACGGGTGGGTCATTCAGGGGATGGGAGGACGTGGCCGACTCCCCCCTGTGGCATGCACTCCTGGGAGGTGGGGCAGACCCATGCCCCCCAGAAAGAGCAGACCCAAGCAGAGTGCAGGGCCCAGGGCAAATCAGCCCATCCGGGGCTCCGCCCCCGCTCCGATCCCATGGGCTCGGGACCCGAATAAGCTACCAATGCCATCGGCGGCATTGGCAGTCGGGGTGGTGGTTAGCAAGTGGTTAGACGTGGTGCCGCTGCTCCACCCAACTCTGCGCCACCCCCTAGGGGGCCCCCTTCTCGGGGGCCAGGAGAAGCTGGGGAGCTCTGCCTCTGCAGGCAATAGGCCCAAGGCTCCTGAGGCTGCTACCGGAAGACCAGCTTGGCGGGGGATGTGAGATTGCTTAGGCCGTTGATGGCGCACAGGGTCAGTGCACAGAGATCTGGCCCTGGGAGTGGTGTGAGACTGCTTGGGCCCCTCACAGGATATGGTTTGGTGCATAGAGCCTAGGCTTTGGGAGCCCCAAGTGGTGGCTTGAGCCTGCAACCCTGGCATAGCCAGCAGGCCGCACAGCACTTGGGGCAGTGCTCAGGGCAAAGGCCTTGGGGCTGCAGTAAGGCAGCTGAGGCCCCATTGCCTGGCAAATGGCCAGATCCCATGGTGTGCAGGCTGGTGCACGGGCCTGTGTCATAGGAGCCAGGGAGCAGTGGAGGCTGCTTGGTTAACCAGCTAGCATGAGGACAGCCGGCTGGAGCCTGAAGGGCCCGGCTTGTGCTAAGAGAGCCCTCGGTGCCGAGCCAGGGCATGGGGAAATGGTAGTGCTGTAATCTGAGGTCCAGGAGCCAGCTGCAGTGGTGCAGCAGCTGAGAGGAGCTGAGCCCTCGGTGCCTGGAGTGGGGCACAGGGTGGGGAGGAGCCCAGCAATGCGGGAGAGGCCTGGAGAGGTGCTCCAGCAGAGGAGATACCATTGAGCTGCACCCTGATCACTGCCACCTTTGGGACCATGAGTCATTGGGCCCTTGGGTCCCAGAGGCGAAAGACATTTGGGGCGGGCAAGCCCGGAGAAGGGGCTGGGTGAGCAGCCCCCCACCTAGTCAAGGCCCTAAGGGGAAGGGCCCTTGGTGCATCCTGGCACCACCGGCTGCTGCCAACTAGAAGGATGGATGAGAATACCACCTGTGCCCCTGACTTCCTAAGCCTGGCCCCCAGCTCATGGAAGTCTTTCATGGTGCAGGTCTGGACTGCTCCAAGCTGCATCATTTGTACCACATGGACAAGGACCATGGGGGAGTAGTCGCAGGGCTGGAGGAGATCAGGAATCCTTTCAGTGCCGTTGCTGATCTTAGCTCCAGGCATGCAGAAGACCCCTTTTGCTATAGGATCCAGTCAGCAGATTGGCTCCTCAGGAGTGAGTGGCCCACCACAACAACCCGGCGTTTCCTCTTCAGACTGGGCAATGGTGCCCCAGTCTGCTCAGTGGGGGTCAGATGGACTTCTTCCTCTGCGGCCCCCTCTGCTGCATCCTTCAGCAAGGCTGCTAGGGCCTTGGACCTGTTCCCCAACTGCTTTGGGGGAGCAGACGCCAGCTCCCGTTGCCTGGGTGCAGAGGTGACAGTCTTCCACTCCTTTGCTGTGGACCCTCTCGTGGGGTTTCTCCCGTAGGCATCTGGACCTGTAAGGAATGGAAATAGCCAATCACAGCCTCACCGTTCCTGATCCCCGCAGCCTGCTCACTGCCACACAGAGTCCCCTCACCTGCTCCTCCAAGGTCTGAAGCTGGACACAAGAGGGACAGGTGAGGGGACTCCCACTCCCCTCCCACCCCCAGCTGCAGGGTCACTGCCAGGCCGCCCCTGCAGACAGGGGCAGGGTGTCCCCATGGGCTTCATGTGGGTGGAGACCTCAGAGGAGCCACGGGTAAGCAGCGCGGCCAGCGGCAGTGGGCTGTGTCCTTACCTTAGCAGCAGAGCTACGAGTCCTCATTGCTGCCCTGCTGGAGACTGCTTCCTGGCTACTTCTGTGTGCCCACCTTGCACGAATGATGGCGCACGCTAACAGAGCCCGCTCTGCTCACGCGCTGGTCGGGAGCACCGTTTCCTGCCGGTTCAGTTAAGAGGGCTCGGGGGCGTGCGACCTCTGGATTATCTGCAGCTGTTCTGGTTCCTCCTTGCCTCCGCCCCGCACTTACCTTCTCAGGATCTGCTGCTGCCACAGCCACTGCAAGTACAGGGGGCACGCGTGTGCTGGAGGCATACGTGCCCCTGTTCTGAACTCAAGCCCCTTGTGTCGGTGGTCAGGCCTGGGCAGGAGGGAGACTGGTGTGGGTGAGAGTCAGCATCTTTATTTTGGCAGATGGGGGCCTGCTGGGGTTGGACCCCCATGGACAAAGGGCGAGAGACAGCCCCCACCCCTGGGCTCCCTGCCCAGCCCCGCTGCACAGACGACACATGGAGGGAGGACGGACGGAGCATCCTCCACCAGCAAAGGCTTGGAGACAATGCAGCAACTGCCCCTGGGCCCGGGCCTGATCCCCCAGCCCAGCCTAGCCGGTGCAAGAGAGGAGGTACTGCAATGCTGCCTCTGTCCTCAGCCACCTCCTCACCTGCTTGAGGCTCTGTCAGACTCAGCATGGCCTAGAAAGCAAGAGCGAGTCATGACATGCCATCTGGGCCCTTGAGTCCGTTCCCCTGGTACACTCCGAGCCTGTGGGCTTTGCCGTGAGCCAGGCAGGGCCAGGGCCGCAGGTGCACACCACTACTGGGACATGGGGAAGTGCAGGTGCCAGGCTGAAGCCTGCTGCTCAGGACAGGGGATCTCCAGTTGGGAGATGGGATCAGAGCTGGGGGAGCCAATCTGGGATTGGGAGCATCCCCTGACACACGTTGTCACTTGCTACTCTGGTCCATGATGGGAGCCTGCATCTCCCTTGGCCCTTTAGGCTGAGAGTGCTCCATGCCTCCCCTGCCCACCCAGGGTGACTGGAGAGGATGTGCCACTGCCTATGACTTGCTGCATTTCTCGGGTGTCACCACTCTGGTGTTGCCCCGCGCTGCCCGGCCTACACGCTCCTACCTTGGAGCTGCTGTTGCACACTGGACCTGAACTTGGGCTTCTTCAGGGCCTCATGCTCCACGCAGTGCAGGTACTCCACCCCATCAATCTTGGGCCCAGTGTGGCGGAGGTGCAGCTCTTACTCCACGCTGTAGGACTTCCCGTCCGGTGCCCAACTGGGGGTGAGGGTGTGGATCCAGATCCTGTGCGGGTCTGAGCTCTTCAGGGGCTGGGCTTCTTTCCTGGTTGAGAAATGGCGCAGGAGAGAACTGCCAGCTGGCCAGGCTAGGACCCTGGGATCAGACACCGCCGGGTCCCTGGCTGCCCAAAGACCAGGGTCTCTGGCTGGGAGATCTCCCTCCTCCAGGACTGGACAGTGTGGGTGGCAGGCTGCAACAGGTGGGAGCAGCACGTCCGTGAGAGGCCCCTGTCCTCAACCACCAGACACATGCCCACCCTCTGCCCTGGCCAGAGTGAGCTCAGCTCCTGGCAGCCTATGTTGTGGGCTTCGCTCAACCAGCCACACAGCCCTGGGCAACTCCTGTTGCAGACAGCCTCCGGGAGGTCCTGGTGCGAGGGGTCAGGCAGTGCCATGGGCTCACAGCCCCTCAAGGCTGGGCCAGGCAACAAGTGTGTCTGCTCCTCTATGGACCCACCACAACCAGAACCAGAGCAGGGCCCGTGACAAGGCCCCTTATCGTAGAACAGCTGATGGGCCTGTCCCATCCCCCATCGCTTACCACTGGTCCTATCAAAGCGGGTCTCCAGGGCGAGGTGTCCCACGCGGCAGATGTACTCTGCCCCCTGGTCCCTGGACGTCCAGCGGGTGAGTCTGGTCTCCTGCTGGAAGCTCTTCCCATCCCGTGCCAGGACGGCCGTGCCGGGCTCCACCCCGCACTCATCTACATCCCGCAGGATCACAGCAGTGTCCTCCCCCTTGCCCCTCCGCAGCCAGGTCACGCTCAGCTCCCCCGGGAAATGCCCCGCGATGCGGCAGCTCAGGGTGACTCCCTTCCCCTTGGCCACAGACTCGGTCTGGGAGATTTCGGACACGTCCGGGGGCCGCAGGAGACCTGGGGAAGGGAAGAGGCAGAGGCAGGGACAGGCCCCGTCAGGGGAGCCGTGGCCTGGCAGGGGCTGGTCCCCGGCCCCTCCCACACCCCACAGAGCCCACACCCCCCCACGC